ATTTTGAAAATTGGTGGATATGCAAACAAACAAAATAGTCGAATCTGGTGTGTAATAAATTTATGTGTAATATTAGAATCTGCAACTGTTTGGTGTGGTTTTTTGATCTGGTAGATTGACTAGTCCAAATTTCTTTGAAAATGAAACTGGATGTTCTGTTACTATGGTGCTTATTATTGAACAACTATTATTAACTTTTTGTTTGACGCATTGGAGCATACTGATGTGCTGAATATGTGGTTTCAACAGGATGGTGCAATACATCATACAGCAATAGAAACAACCAATCTATTGAAAGAGAAGTTTGGTGACCGAGGATCATGAACCAACATGTGGTTTAACACCATTAAATTATCTTATTTGGGTTTTTTGCAGAGTAAAGTTTATGCAAATAATTCTCATTCAACATTTGAAAGAAAACATGGTCAAAAAAATTAATAAAATTATGTCAACATGTGTTTGAAAATTTTACTAAAAGATTTGAGGCCTGTAGAACTGCAAGAGGTAGTACTTACCTGATATTTTTTCCACTATTAACTGCTACATTTAATATTCAATAAAGATATCTGATTATTTTGAAAAAGTTGTTTGTTTTTAAAATAAAAAAGTTGATTCAAATTCGTGCACCCTGTAGAAATAATATTATATGCTCAGGCATTTTAGAAAACAGATATTATGGTGTCCCAAAAGTATATAGATTTTAAAAACTTTCATACCTCACCTCATCAATATGTCGTGCTTACCTACCAAATTTTAGCCAATATGGACAATATTTAGAGTTTTCTCAAAAGTTAAAGTTTATAATTTGAATTTAATTGTTTGTGACTAATTTTGAAACATTGTGATATATATGTTGTGTGTTATATATGTGACAAATGTGTTATATGTGACATATGTGTTATATGTGAAATATGTGTTAATGAAATTTTAACATATAGAATGCTTTGTGATGTAATTATACAAATGAAGAAAAACAAATAAATCTGGAAAAAAAATTTAATATAAAACATCAAAAATTACGTTATGTAATAAAAAAAAAAAAGATTTAAATCTTTAGTTTGCTTTGTCGACTTTAAAACCACAAACAATACACCACATAGTTTTTTTGCCTAGTAAAGACTTTTGATTCTAATTTACGTGATACTATCACTACACCATTTGATATGCAAAATTTTTTATGATTATCGATTCAAGTACTCTGCTAGATATTTTAAAATCTCTTTTAATAAATTGTATTTGAATAAATCTTTTTAAAGAATTGTATCATTCCAATTTAATAAATTGTATTCATAAACAATTGTAAACTAAACTTATTGTAAACAATTGTAGACCTGTTTTGTTGACATGAGACCAATAACCACAGGTATACCATTGGACTGAAGAAAAGCCTTTTGACATTTTTCTGAAAATAAAAAATATCATAATGGCAATTTTTTATGGATATTAATAAATTATAATAATATTATTGTTTAAACTATTTTAATTTTTGTATTTACTTGAATAAAAAAAGTAGAACAGCTTCAATATAATAGAAAAATAAAATTAAAAGTATTCATAAAATGTATAATATAAAAGAAAACTTGTATTTATGCGGAATAACCTAATAAATTATAACAATTCAATAGCAAAAATCTAAAATCAAAATAAAAAATATCTAAAATAAGGATATCTAATGCTCTATAAATAAATTCTAGTATTAATAACTTCACAAACAAAGTACCAATAACTTAAGGAGTCTAAAACTACATGAGGACCCTAAAACTACACAATTATTTTTGTAAAATATTATTTAGTCAAATTTAAAGCTCTTGCTAAATATTTACATGTACTTAAATGAAGATTTTTATAAGCTCCAGTTCAACAAAAACAAAAAAAACTTACAAAAAGAGTGATTTAATTCTTTTAATAATTGCAAAGAATCTCAGTGCACTTATTTACACAATATCAGTCACAAACTAAATAAATTTTTAAACTAAATTCAAAACTATAACTTGAATTTTTGAAAATTTTCTACATTAACATTTCACTCTTTTTATTTTTATTTGTTTGTTTTTTTATTACATTGTTATTCTTTGTTTTTACTTCATATTTTTTATGCTTTGACATTTTTCCTTACATCCCACAGTGGGCCAGAATTCACTTTTACTGGACAAAATTCATAACTAATTTAATATTAGGTCTATAATCACTAAAATTAGCACGAGTACTAATATGATGTCTGCCCTTTTTATGAAGGTGCTATTTTTTTATTTTGTTGCTATGGATACTTTTATTTTGCTTAGCAACAACCTATTTTTGGGATTTCCAGATATTTTACGAGTGCTATATTTACTAAAATTAGCATGGGTACTAATATGAAGTCTGCACTTTTTATGAAAGTGTTTTTTTTTATTTTGTTGCTATGGATACCTTTATTTTGCTTAGCAACAACCTATTTTTGGTATTTGCAAATATTTTACGAGTGCTATATTCACTAAATTTGGCATGAGTACTAATATGATGTGTGCATTTTTTATGAAGGTGCTATTTTTTCATTTTGTTGCTATGGATAATTATATTGCTTAGTTACAATTACCTTAGTTAGGGTTAAACAAAATGTTGTTATTACATCGTTAATTTGTAGCAATAAAAATATAGTAAACAGATAAGCAGAAAAAATGAAAACAGAAACACAGTTTAAGTAACATTGCAGTAAAAATGTAATAATATAAAATATTTACACAAAATCTTTAAGTGGTACTTCTTTTAGTAGCTCTAGCACTCCGTCTGGAAAGTCTTTCTTCTTTGAATGATGTGGTGTTCTCAAATTACTAATAATTGGATCAGATGAACACATCAATCTCCTTAACAAGTCTTCATTTGTTTTAGAACAGGAGCACTTTCTTGAAAAAGACTCCCGGAACTTCTTGAAGTCTTGTTACTTCTTGTGTCTCTTCACTGAGCATGCCAATTGGCAAAGCCATTCGATCCACAACTTGCCAACCATGAATAAGAATTCGGTGTTGACTCTGTGGCATGTGGTACCATGGATACTGGTTCACATATTGTTCAACTGTTTGCATGCAGAAGTCTCTAAATCAAGAAGAATCAATAACATATTGTGACGATAAAGTGCACAAAATAACATGCAACATCTTAATGATGATGACATCTAGTTGGAGAATTTCAGCAGTCTTCTCTGCATTTTGAAAAAATCGTCGAGCAGTTTTGCCAGTGTTTGAAGATCCTGAACCACAAGTCCTTGGAAAATCAATTAAAAGCCCAACTTCATCACGAAGTTTCTTTTGAATTGATGTCTTTCTATCTTGAATTATTTTTTTTTCTGATGGTTCTCGTGTTGACCTTTTCTGTATTGTTAATTTGTAGCTTATTTTGAGAAGGCATTCCATAGTTCTGATCCATGCATGGAGAGTTGAAAGCCCATAATTGAGTCCAGTTTTGGTAATTGGGAGATTTTTTGCAGTATTTAAGTCATTCATTTTTTTTGGTTTGCAGCCACAAACTGAGCAGCATTGCGATGATTTTGTTGCTGTGGATAGTGCTGTGGCAACTTTCCCATCCATAGGAGAATCTTATTGATCTGCAAAATAAAATGGATGATGGATGAGGGTTGGACCAAATAATCTTCTTTTTGCCATTACAATATTCAGATAACTACAAAGGCACAAAGCAAGTGAGGAATAAGCTGGCTTCATTTGTAATATTTCTGTTTTCTTCTTCTGTAGTTATTTGAGTATAAAGGCTTTGGCCAGTTGATCCATCAAAGCCAACTTTGGACCTCAGGGTCATTCGTCGAAGATCTTCTAAGGAGTTAATAACTTCTGCCTGACATTCTATTAAACGTAGTGCTGTATGATTGACCGATGCTTGCATGTTGACCTCTGCAGAATAGTCAGTGACAGTGCATAGTTTATTCTCTGGAAGACAAAGTACTTTTGCTTCCTGTACATTATTATAAGCTGGATATAAATTACAGCCTTTTCTTACAGCATTGTTCCATAAAGTTCATATTGTTTATAGAAAAAGCTTTCCTCAGATTTAGATGAATTTTTTATTGATATTCACTTTTTTTTAAAAAACTGTCTATGTATTAGTATTTTTTTTATGTATTTTTTTTAAAAAACTGTCTATGTATTAACTTTTTTTAAAAAAACTGTATTAGAAATCTGAGTACTCTGTCCTTAGATTTTTTTCGTTAAAATACTTTCACGGCTTTATGTTTTGGATAGTTGTCTTGTTTGAAAATAAATCCTTCACCAACAAGTTATGTTCCACTATCCAAAACATGTACTTCAAAATATGCAAATAGACCTCTTTTGCCATTTTTTTTTTGTTGATTTTTACCAGTTTCTAACTTGGCCTCCTCTAAAACAACCCGAAATCAAAATGTTGCCTCCCATGTGTTTAACCGTTTGCAGTATGCAATCATCCAGTATCCTTTCTCCAGATCAACGACAAACAAAGACCGACGTTTATTACCAAAAGTTTCAAATATTGATTCATCCAACAAAACACGCTGATAATCAGACTTGCTCAGATTATTATCTAAGATGAGTGCTAAGGCTTCATTGGGAGTATTTTGAACATGTTCATCAGTTTGAGTTTTTGATAAATTTCTAACTATCTTAGCATGCTTTCTCCTTCCTTGTTTCCAAAGTTTGCAACTGCTAGCAAACAACAGCTCGTTTGAAGAACTTGCCAATGATTCAAGTTTTGACACTTTCCTTTTTTTAGATTTATCAGATGATTCTCCAAATGATTTACAAGGCCTGCCAAGAGATAATTTAGGTGTAGTTTCTGTATAGCATAAAGAAAAGGTTTGTTGGGGACTAATAAAGTCTTTGCAAAGCCAGGCTAAATTTTTATCCGAAAATATAACATTGTAACTTCCACTTGCAGCCCATCGCTTTCTGTATTCAAAAGTAAATTTTAAAAATTTACTTTTGAATACATATCTTTTTTATTTGATAATGATAATTTGTTTTCTCTTATAAATAAATGGATTTGATTTCTATTAATGCTTGACATAATAGAAATAGTCTAAAGTTAAAAATAAAACAATTTATCAATAGGTTTTCATTTATTTTATGTAGAAATATTTTCTTTTAATTATTATAGTATTAACTATAATTAATTAGTCTTATTTTTGAATCAAAATATTCATTATATTATAACATATTGTATTACTTTTGTTCGCGATGTTATATTTTATATACAATAATATTGTATATAAAATATAATTTATATATAATATAAAATATAATTCAAGGGGTGGATTATATATATAATATAAGGGGTGGTATAATATAAAATATAATATATATAATATAAAATATAACATAAGGGGTTGATCCAGCATTTTTTGGCGTTTGAGATGCAACAAGTTGATAAAATATTTTTTGTACTATTCTCAACAAGACTTTTATTTATCAATAAATTTTAAATTTCATAGTAAAATATTTTAGCACTCAAAAATTATGACCGTATAAAAATTGTAACCCCCTTGAATTGAGGGGGATTCAAACTTTACACATCTCAAACACTAAAAAATGCTATATCCACCCCTGAATATTTTTGCAAATCATTGCAAATAAAAATTAATTTAGCAAATATTAGCAGCTAAATTAAACATATTTTCATAATATGGATATAAAAGCTTCAAAATATGTATATAAAATAACAGGATACTACAAGATCTTCTATTTTTTTATTTTTTAAACCAAAAAATACACTTCAAATATTCTTTTAATGAAGTATTTAAAATTATTATAACTTATTTGTTTTCTTACCTATTTTAATCTAACAACTCTTAAAATGCAGAAAATAGACAGTTCAACAATAAAATAATTTTCAATGCGCAATATTTAATACAGTGTTACATTATTACCATAGATTTTGTAAACAACATTTTTTGCTTTATGATATTTCTTTTCTTATTTACGTTTGCATATACTTTAACCACATAATTAGTCTATTCATTACAATTTTAGATGCATATAAAAGGTTTTAAATTGTTTCATAATATCTATAAAAAAGTATAAAACCATTACGACATTAAAATTCTGACTTTTATTTTTATACTTTTGTCCAGTCAGTAGCCCACTGTGCATTCCTTACTTTTTATGCTTCAACACTTCCATTACTAACTTTACAACTAAATCTTTCTTTTAATGCTTTCATAATACTTAAATGAAAAAATAACAATACAAAAACATCTAAATAGCGCAAGTGTGGAATTATGTACACAAATTAGTAAAAAAAAAGTTATAAAAATCCACCTAATTTAATGATCAAAATCTTGTATTTAAAAGGGGGAATAGCCATTAACAGTTCAAGATATGATACTGTTAGACTAATGGTAAATAAAATGTGCTATCTTTAATACATCTAAATCTTTTATTAGAAAGCATAAAATTTTTTTGTTAAAGTTTGAATAATAAATACCACATTTTTTTTTTTAATATTTTCTTTTAGATGAAAGAATACATTTATTACACTCATTATCTTGAGTCTTAAATATTTTTGTACATTTTTTTGTACTTTTAAAATTAAAATTTAAATGATAGAAAGATTATCTTTTTTTACATTTTAATTTTTTGTTATTTAAATTTTAATAAATTTATTTTTATTTTTTTAAAACAGCTGCACAAGGCTTTGAGCCCCCAAAGGGTCCCTAAAACAAGCTAACGAGAAAACAAGCTAATGAGCTTTTTCTTTTACAAGCCATTACACGAAAGTACTATCTAATGTTTCTCTTGTCATAAAACTGTCACTGGCACTGTAGCCTAGATAATATATGACATTATTCATAAATCTTATAGCAAAGATAATTGCTTTTTTTTTGTTGAGTTTTTAATACCTTAAAAAAAATGTTCAAAAATTACTGTATTTTCATAAATTTCAACTATTAGAGGTTAGTGAAAAGTTAGATCATATTGCCTTACTGACAATTTGCATTCAGATGTGTACAACACATAAATATAAATGTAAATAAAATTAAATCTAGACAAATTTTTATATATCTGATAACCTACTTCTATTTTTAACAAGTTTACTGAGATAACCTACTTCTATTTTTAACAAGTTTACTGAGATAACCTACTTTTCAGTAAACAAGTTTACTGAGTTTAAAATATCTCAATAAAAATAAATCAAGTCATAATTAATATTCTTTTTTAATATATTTTTTGAATAAAGTCATAACTAATATTCTTTACTAATATATTTTTTGAAAAAATCTTGAAATGGTTTTAAAAGAAACTCACCATTTTCATGCACACATTCTGCAATGCATATGAGACATTTAAGTTGAACATTATGAATTATTTTCAATCGAAGACAATCAACTAAATCATTAACAATACCCATTTCTGAAGCACAGTCTTTGTTAGAATCTAAAAAAATTAAATAATAGAATAAACATTTTTTTTCTTCCAAATTGCATGTAAATAGTTAACAGGTAGTGATGTGGTGGTAGAGCACTTGCTTCATAAGCAAAAAGCATCTAGCTCAATCTTCACCACATCTCTGGTACATCACTCAACTCTTCTCTTTCTTTCAACTTCTCCACACAGTACCCTTTTTTATCAAGGTTCATGGTTTGAAGCTATAAGATTGAGAGAGAGTTGCAAAAACAAAACAATAAATCTCCCTATAAAACCTGTAGAAACTGTAAACCCCTTAAACCTTATGAAGGCAAATTCAGTATGAAAAAAAAACACAAACACACATAGAATGTATTTTTAGCTTTTTTACATTGGCATTTTTTTGTAATGTTGCTGTATATGAGAGCTAAGTTTCAATATAAATTTGATGAAGTCATCTAAGATTTTTGAAATAAATTAAACATGGTGCAAATTTAAATTGTTTTCAAACAGAATGAGATAATTGCCAAAGTAATAATTAAAAAAGGTTTATTATATATGTATACAGGTATACAAAAAATTGCACTACTTTCATCCTTCACATCATTAAGAAAAAAAATCAGATAAAGATAGTGATAATAAAACGAAGAAAGTTTATTAAAAGCTGTCATTAATGTTAACGATAAAGAAATCTGAAAAAGAATCGGAAAATAAGCTTAAGAATAAAGAACTTCAAAAACTTTTTTTATTAAAAAAATTAATAAAGAAATCATAACAATGCTTTATCTTAAAAATGTAAATTACTGTAATGCCTATGAACTTAAATGTACTATTATAAGATAATTTGCAATTGAAAATGCACACATGATATAAGAAAACTTTTAGTATATTTTTTACTATTGGTAAACTTGATTATCTCTATAAGGCATATTTAAAATATAGATATATCAGATTTTCTGTGTAAGAATTTAATAAAATTGTAAATTAATGTCAAATATATCTTATTTTTGTACATATATAAAAAACAGCTTCATTACTCAAAAAATACTAAAGAATCCCCCCAAAAAATCACATTTCTATGTTGCCATGTTAAATTTTTGGAAATCATGAAGAGCATAGTCAGTCAAAGAATGCAGAAGTGTGGAGATTCAATTTATGCAAAGTTTAGACTATAAAAGATACAAATGTAAACACAGTTTATACCACAAGAATTATGAAGATGTAAAACAAAGATGTTTTTGGAAAAATAAAAGATTAAAATCTGGAGCCTTAAAATACAGACTCTCCTGGCACAATTGTGTCAGATTTTGAAACAAATTATTCATTATTTATTATTCAAAAACAATAGATAGAAAAAATTTAGAGCTTCCTCATTTTAGGGAAGGACATACAAAAAATCTAAAAAAAAGTTCCGCCATTTTCCTGTTGATATAACTAGCACAGCAACCTTAGATCAAAACTTTAAAGACAAAAAGTTTGAATCATAAATTACTTACTACAATCTGTAAAAACTATAGTAAGTGTGTCCAGAATACAGGGTAACAAATCAACTTCCGTTACATCATTTAACTGCTGTTTTAACACTTTTGCTAAGCAACGAATACCGCCAACCATGTTAAAAATTTGTAAGGCTTTCGCTTTAAAAAGAAATTGTTGTTTAATTAGTATGAAGTAAAATATGAACTATACATCAAAATATAATGCATATTATTTATATTGTATTTAAATAATACACATAATTTTTTTTTTTTTCATTAGCTATATTTAAAAAATCAATCAGCCCTATAGAATAACAATTTTTATTTATTAAAATCACCATTTTCATACACACAATCAGATATAAAACACAAGGCTTCTGCTTTTAATGTAATGTGTCCGCACATAAAAGTATTTATAGCAAGAATTAGCAACTTGGAACACAAAAGTTGATTTTCTTCTAAAAATATTTGAAAGATTAAAGTTTAAAAATATTACAACAATAACAACAACAAGTACTAGTACTACTACTTATACAACAACAACAACTACTATTATGACAACAACTACTACTACTATGACTAGAGATATTATGACTACATCGACTGGTGCTACAACAACAACAACAACAACAACAACAACAACTACTACTACTACTAGCTATAATGTATTCAATATATCAAAATATATTTACGTCTAATTAATAACTACATATTTTCATCTCTATATAATGTCAAAAATAACATTAACACACACACACACACATATATATACATATATAATATATACATTAATAACACACATCTAATAATATATAATAGCATACATATATATTATATATATGTTAATAACATATATATATATATATATATATATATATATATATATATATATATATATATCAATGTAATAATTGAAAACATACATAACAGTTACAACAAAGGAAACAAAAATTTTTGAAATTGCTAGATGAAATTTCATAAAAATTTTAACTTACTATTTGTTGGTTTGGATATGATTGATTTTAATGCATGTGATATATGAGTAAGAACAATAGGAGCCTGACTACCTGCCTTCTCAAACCATTCTTCATCTAGGGAACATTCTGGGATTTCCCCATTTGGATGAAAGTGCCTATATTAGATTCCGTAAAAAAAAAAAACATTTAATAATTAAAAAAATTCTGCTATAAATTATTTTAATATCACTGTTTTTTTCAGCCCTTGGAATTAGGCAAAATGAGGTCAGCAATTTATTGCCGACCTCAAACTGTTAGAGGTCGGCATCAGGTCGAAAAAAAAAATATTTTGACACAAATTTCTTTCTATAAAACATAAGAATGAGGTCAGCAATTATTTGCCAACCTTAAACACTTTCAGCTTGGCAGTTAGGTCAGCATCGCTAAATGCCGACCCTTATTCCGAGGGCTAATTTTTTAATACTATTATGTTTAGTATCTTATTGTTTTTGTATTATACTATTTCAATACATCATATTATTTTTGTATTATACTATTTCTATATATTTTATTATTTTTATTATACTATTTCTTTATATATATATATATATATATATATATATATATATATATATATATATATATATATATATATATATATATATATATATATATATTTTTTTTATTATACTATTTTTATATATCTTATTATTTTTATGTTATAAATTATTTTAATAAATTTAAATACTACTTACTTAAAAACTATAAAACTGTTTTTCAGCAAACAAAATCTATTAAAGTATGTTATAAACCAACCTATATAACATCACTAAACTCTCTAAGCATCTGCACTTTCTGGCTCTGTTCTGTGCTTTCTCTGGATAACAGAAATAATTTAAATAAACTAAAACACTCTAAATACTTTTTTTTGATAAAAAAGTCACTAAAAAATTTGATTGCAAGTATAATACTAAAAAAGAATAATATAAAAAACTAATAGCCTTTAATAAACCTTAAACTTTATAGGTTAATGCACAGCTATCTAAAACAAAGACATATTACCCGAGCAGCTGGATTTGAAAACTGGAGGCCGATTTAGTTAACATTTTATTTTGGCTATTTTTTTAAAACTAGTCTAACAAGTTAAATAATTTCTAACTTACTAAATTAAAATACTGAAGGCAGAACTATTTCATATTTATTAATCAGGATGTAATAAAACAAACTTTGATAAACATACTTTGTTTAAAAGAATTTGAAACATAAAAAAAAAGATAATTTTAAAACTGATATTTAAATCTCAAATTTCAAATTTTTTGAGCTGGCTTTTTTAAAGAATGCGAAGTGTTTAGTTTTGACTAAATATTTAAAATATATATTTGACATGATTTAATAACTTTTCATACAAGACATTATTTTTGAAACAACCCAAAAAATTAAAATCGTCAATTAATTGAAAGTAGTAACATAGAGAATGTAAAAAAATTGACAAAGTTTTTTTTTTGCTTATTTCAACTAACCCTTTTATAATATGGGCTATTGCTTTAGATTTTTTAAGAACCAGTGTTTTATTACATTTGTTTCCATAGCAATCTATAGCTTCACATATTTTGGATAAAAAAAGTAGTTATTGTAGGCAAAGGTCATCTGGTGATTTAATGACAGAATGCAACAGGTTTTTTAACCTTTTATCATCACAGAGAGAGTTTGGAGCATTTATCATAATTTTCCATGCATCAATAAACTTTTTTAGAAATAAGACAGTTTGTTTAACATAGATTTGATCTATTTTAGGATGATGATGCAGAAAAAGTTTCTTCACAAAAAACTTTCAAACACAAAGAAACACGTTGCTCAGGTTTTAGAAAGATTAAAGGTATATTTAAATGCAAATGAGTTGTATGTGTCTTCATTTCTAAGCTACATAAAGTTGACTTAAGGTCCATTCCATATTGCAACTAAATTATCTTCATTGTCCTTAAACAAGTAAAAAAATGTTATTTTTAGTCAACCATAGATCAATCAATAGTGTCAGAAAAACATTGTACTTGGCATGCTACCACCTACTAACGTAAGCTTTAGTCATCATTCACATTAAAGTCACTTTTTTAGTGATTGCTCATGCAACCTCCAAAATCCTCATCCCCAACTTCCTTTTTCTTCATTGTACTTTCCCTAATTCATATGACTTTTCCTAATTCATATAACTTTTCTTATTCATGTAATTTTTCTAATTCATATAACTTTTGAAGTTTTTTAACTATTATCTCAAGATATTATTATTAGTTTTCTAGAAGTTCCAAATTTAATTAACAAACACAAAGAATGTTTTTACAATTGTAAAGAGTGAACTTGTATATTAAAAAAAAAGTATTCAATGTAATGTTGTTAACCAAGAGTTTAGCAGGCTCGATCAGTAGCAATATTTGAATTTCAAAAACAATAAATAGTGCATAGCTGATGATTTCAGATTAATTGGTATAGTAAAACAAGTTGTTATTGATGGATTGTAAGTGGTTTCATAATGTTCATACATGATCATAGATGATGTTAATGGGTATAGGTTGCCAAAACACATGCAATACCATTTTGAAAGCAGCAAACTTAAAAAATTATAACAAAAATTTATCTAATGTAAAACAAATAATTATGCAAAATAAAAAAGTTGTGAAAGTTTTAGGAAGTTATTGTGACTTTTTTGATTTTTTAATTGTGAAACTTTAGAAAGTAAATAAATTAAATTAGGTAATAAATTAAAAAAAATATAGATAAACTAAAAAAAATAAAAAAATTATCAGTAATTTTACATAACACATTTATGTTATATAAACTTACTGATACAATTTTTAAAAGTAATTATAACACATTAATTGATTACATTGAAGAGTTATATACATGTTCTATTAAAAGTGAAAATTTTTAAATCTAAAATAAAAAAATCTAAAAATATGTAAATAACTCTGAACAAAACCAGACTCAAAATAAAAAAAAACAAACATTTACCATTTCCACTACATATGCATGCCAAAAGATATGAAGATGCGGCAATAAGCTTATGAGTAGAATCTTTCATCAACATTGTTTTAATATGAGTCATCAGATGATCAGTGTTTAATATATTTTTATTTTCATCTACAAAAAATAACTTTTTATAAATTTGTTGAACAATCATGAAAGGTTTAAAATAAATTGAGCAGTTATGTTACCATTTGCTAATGAAGCATTTCCAAGTGTAAGGAAAGATTTTTGTAAAACCAAAGGATTCTGATTTTTATCAAAAATCATTTTTAATACAACAGAAAGACCACCAACTTTTTGAAAGAAATAACCACCTTTATCTATTGTGAAATAATAATAATAATAATAATGTCAATATTAATAATAATAACAACAATATATATATATATATATATATATATATATATATATATATATATATATATATATATATATATATATATATATGTTAAAATTTTTTTCACAGATCTAATGGTGTGCAGGCCAAAGTTTGTCGCTATGTAAATTTAGAAACTATACTTAGTGTACACAAATGCTATTTTTGGGTCCCATCTTATTAACACATGTCAAGTATGGGAACAATCCCATAAACAGAATTTTTTAAAACTATCACATTTCCAAATAATAGAAAATATTATTCAAGCAGCAAGATAACTTTAAATCAAGTGTATTGTACTGTATGACAAATAAGCTGAAAATAAGCAACCTTGTAGAATACAAGGTTGTAGATAGAATACATTCTATAATTGCCAATTTGTCTTGAAGTAATATTGCAAAAACCTCCTAACATTGTTAAACAATTTTTCTTATTAAAGATATAAACTGCCATTATTATTTGTTTTTGTAGCTAATGTTATCGTTAGAACTAATAAATCATTAAAAAGAACACCCTGGGTAAGGTTTTGTGTACAATAATTGTGTATAATTTTAATTGTGACTTGTCATTACCAAAATTTCTCATATTCTTTAATGGGATACCAAAGGATCAAAATCAATCAAAATTAAAGAAGATGAAATTTTACAATTCATGATTGGCAGACCAATTGAACTATCTGTTATGATTTGAATCAAAGGTCAATTTCAGGTAGTCTAAACTCAACCAGTATTACTTAAGCTACATTCAGTTTGGGTTCAGAGAATTCTCCTAACTGCTTGGCTCATATTCAAGGACTATCATATAGCTGACAAAAACCTTTCATGTATCTACATGAATTCTGAAGAACCACTAGACATTCGCCAAAAACATTTGACCACATTAAATGGAAAGCAAAAAAGAAGGAAAATTATACCAAAATTTGACCATCTTAAATGGAAAGCAAAAAAGAAGGAAAAACTGCAACTATTTTGAACAATATACTTTCTATGATGGCATAGCCTGGATATATAAAAGCTTGGTAAAAAAGGCATCATTATTCATTGCTACTTTTAACAGGCATGGAATCAATGCTTCAAAACCTCCAGCTAGAAAATATTTATTAATGTGTTCTGATATAGCTATAAGAACACCAGTTATCAGAAACTCAGTTACCAAAATTAGGAGACCTAATTTAGACTTACAAGCTATTGCTTTTTCTGGCTTTAATAGCAACCAAATTTTTCAGGGTAGACCATACAGTAGTTTGCTATACTTTAGAAGTAATTAACTTAAATTACATTTTAAATGTATAGAATGTGATAGCAGACATATTAATGTGTTATTATTAATGTTTAAAAAGATTGAATTGTTTTTATTTAATTTATATATGTTGCACATTTGTTTGTCTTGTACAGATGATTTCTAGCTGCAAGTGTTGCTAGTATCAGATATTATAGATGAATTTCCCCATGTTCAAGTTATTTTAGGTGGTGATTTTAATGCTGATTTTAATTTTGCCTGTAATCAAACACTCAAACAATTTTTAGGCTACAATGAGCTACTTTTATGCATGTCAGGGCTTGATGTTGATTACACATATCATCTTAACTGCAAAAGACTAAGCATTTTTGATCAATTATTTTTGTCTCACTATTGTTGCTGGCAGGTACACCAAATTTATGTGTTAGTATGACTCATCCAGTTAATAATACTTTAGATCATGACCTAGTTACTATTTTTTTTTACCTATAAACATTAATCACATTTCTACCAGGCCTATTGAGCATAAATACAAATTTGCAGGGTTTAAAACATCTAACAAATAATTAACTGGATATGCCAATTACATTAATGAGTTGGATATGCTAATCACATTAATAAGTTAAGTACTTATTAAGATATTCTAGTTGAAGCCTTAGCATAAACTGAAGTTTTTTGGAGTAAACCCAACCATTTAGATGCATTACAAACATATGGCTACCATTAATACATACATACAAGCATACAATTACAAAAAAATTATTTAAATACTATTAAGAGTTACATTGGCGTCACAAATATAAAATGAAAAAGAGATTTTTTTAAAAAGGTTAAAAATATTCAAATTCATGGAAAAACGCCTCCAATTGTTGTTAATAACAATAAATCACCAAAATGCATAGTTAATTCTTTGTGAATTGTTGTTAATAACAATAAATCACCAAAATGTATAGCTAAATCTTATGTGAAATTCTATTCATCAACTTTCTTTTAAAAAAATGGAAATGACTATTATATATATGACTGCGTTAAAAAAAAATTTTTAAATCAATTCTAACTTATTAGAAAGATTGATATTTATAAAACTGTTCAAAAAATGAAAGATGGCAAGTTGGAGGGAAAAAGATTGTTCTCATCTGATTGTATCATAAATGGTCCTGACTCCTTGCATGTGCATTTAACTATGCTGTTATAGACAATATATTGACAATAACATTTTTATTTTAGATATTTAAAATAAAAACGACATAACAAACATTTTTATTTAAATTGTAAACAAAACAACTGAAAAAAAAAGAAAAAAAAAGAATATTATATTTAATTGTTGAATAAAACAGCTAAAATAAAAAAAGCAAACCTTATGTTTTATTTAAACTCTAAATAAAACAAATGATTTTTTAAATCTTAATAAAATAACTAAAATAAAATAGCACAATGAACGCTCCATTTGATTGGCAAAACTTTTTTTTTAAAATTGTAGACAAAACAATTGAAATTTAAGCGAAAAAACAAATGCTTTATAATTAAAAAATAAAATAATTAAAATAAAAATGGCAAAACTTATGCTTGGTTTTCAAATTTTTAAGCAAACATCAAAACACCATTTGAAAGAAAAGTTGGCAACTAAGTGTTTGCTTTTCTGTAAATTTTATGCTAAATCTTTGCACGTTAGGTAATCTGTCGAACACTGTTTTAAAATTTTGTGTTAACCTAAAATGATTTTAGGTATTCGGTTACTGTCATGTGTCTGAGCAATCTTCCTTCATAAATGTCCAACTTATTCCAAGCTTTAAATAAATATTTTGATCTCTTTGTTACAAAGTCATCTAAGGTTACAACTTTATCCATTAATCCTTTATGCTTACAACTTTATCCATTAATCCTTTAGCTTTTTGACCTAGTTTTTTTGGTTTTCAAGTGCAACCATTATTTTCTCTTTAGTTTGGTTACCAACATTGTTGCTGAAAAAAGAGACACTCACAAGGTATTCCGTTAAATACCATAAATGTCCTGCAATGGCTATTATGGCAGATTCAACCATTTCTTTGTCAAATATTTTAAAATTATTTATTTTTTTAATCAGTGTCAGGTCATTGTGAGGAGCAGATGAAGAGATGGGAGCCATTTTGTAAACATGGGATAAAATAACTTCATAAACATGGTGTCGACAGGTTGTGTATAATAAAGACTTTTCAAATAATTTTCCAGCAAGCAAGCTTGGTCGGGAAGCTGGTGCAACCACACTCTATTCTTGACCTTGCAAATTATATTAAGTTGCAACAACTTAGCCACGGCTTTTTAGATGTTTTGAGAACATTTAAATTTATCTATGTTTCTATATAAGTCCGAAACTTTTTGACACACTAAAACAATTAAACTTGAAAATAATCTTTTGTAATCAAATGATTTACTTTTATTGATTGTTTATACGGAAAAATTTTTTAATTTTATTGTTTAAATTTTGTAAAGTTAAATAAGTTTTATTAAGAACTATAATAAATAATTATATAAATAATAATATAGATTAGTTTTTTATTCTTTAAATGTAAGTCTTTTAAAATGTTTGAAGGATCAATTTTATAAAAATAAGACTTTCAATAACAACTGCATTTTCAATAAAATTTAAAAAATAATAATCATTTAAGTTAATAAAATTAATAATTAAACTAGCTGATCTGACCCGTAAAAACATAGGTCTTTGTAAGTCTATTCCACACTGAACTTTTTTATACCTTGTTTGTTATATATATATATATATATATATATATATATATATATATATATATATATATATATATATATATATATATATATATATATATATATATATATATATATATATATATATATATATCCTAGCTTTTACGGACCCATAAATTATATGGGTCTTTATCAAATCTACCATTTCTATACTTATCTATTCTACACCGATTATACCTATACCTAGTATTTGTTTACTTTAATATTTTTACGTAAAATAATTCATTTTCAAAAATTGCTTTAAAAGCAAAAAATTTAACATGGGCAACCTTTCAGCACACCTAGAGCTTATAAGAGATTTATAATTAGGTTTGTTTTCAAACTCATATCATTGATAGTCCAATGGTTTGGTGCGCTATCACCAGTGCCATTTTGTGGGATTCAAAAAATCCCCTTATAAATTTTGAAAATTTTTTATTCATTCTGTATTTATAGCAAAAATTTTATAACAGTATTGCAGTCTATTATTATTTTATAAAGCAATAACAGTATAGCAGAACTAAGAAAATCTTAGAGCATTATAAACTATAGACTAAAACTCTTAGGAATCGCCCAATACGCAATGCTAAATTTTTTTTAAAAAAAAATAGAAGAGATCTTCAGTTTTTTAGGATGGTGATTTTTATTAAACTTAACGAGCTATATAGATTTTTATTAATACAACCCTGCTTATACTGCTGAATTAGGTGAGCATAATGATGTCATACTCACCTACTCACCTAGCGTCAAATAGCCTGCTGCAGGGGGCTTCAGTACATACATCGACTGACAAATAGCCTGTATGGGTCAGCAACCTTTTCATTCATTATTCTTTGTTTTCCCTCATCATTTTCTAAAAATGCTCACTTAATTTAGGCTAGCAAAAAAAGTGAGCAATTGCGCATATAAATATGTATATGTATATGCATATAAATATATATATATATATATATGTGTGTGTGTGTATATATATATATATATATATATATATATATATATATATATATATATATATATATATATATATATATATATATATATATATATATATATAACAAAACAGAATTTTAAGAAATTTCTTAAATATTTTACATCTTCAGCCTTTGGAATTAGGGTCAGCATCCCAATTTTTTTTGCCGACCTCTAAAAATTTAGGTCCGACAATAAACTGCCTACCTCATTTTTCCTAATTCCTAGGGCATCGAAAATTTAGAAAATTGCTGCATCTTAAATGCAGCATTTTTTTAATTTTTGCTTCAGGCCGCAAAAAGTAAGTGTATTCAGGAAAAAGTCCATAATATGAAAGAAAATATTTTGTTTCTAGGCAGAATAAGGACTTCAAAACTGCAAAGCATTTTGCAATAGGTCCACATTGTATAGTTTTTATATTACTCATAATGAAAAAAAAATTAAATTTGGAAAAAAATGTAGCTAGCTAAAAATCTAATTATTTTTCTTGCTTATGTGTAAGACTCTTAGGTTTTTAAATATAAAATTGTCTAAATTTTTTATTTTACAACTCACCATGATATATACATATATATTAAAGTAGCATTTATATAAATATATACAAAAATATCAAATAGATACATATATATTAAAATAGAATCAGGGTATAAACCAGAAATAAATTTTATACAGCGTTTGACAAAATTGGGAATTTGTCAAAATATTTTCCAATACTTCTCCTCCCCCCGAATTTAAAATGTGTTTTGGGAATGGTTAGGGTCCTTTTCCTATCTACTTTCCTCTTCTACTCCCCTTCAGCACTACATACATAAATTGTATAGCACTAAAAAAAAAATAATAATATTAATACAAAAGTACCATATGTAACATTTATTTAAGATGAAGTCAATTCAAAATTAAATTGGCTTCACAATAACACAGCAAATTGAACTCCGATTTACGAAGATATTTTAAGAATTATTAAGAATTTTATATTTGATTTATTTTTAATTCATTAAATTATTGTTGTTTTTATTTTAAGAGTATTCTTTTGAATATATATTTCTTATTCACTGGTGGGCATTTGTGTAAATGCATTTCTTTTTTTAAACACAAGCAAACAACCCAAGGAATTAGGAAAAATAATGTCTGGAGTAATTTGCCGACCTTAATCTTTTTGAGGTCGGCATCAGGTCGGCAAAAATTATTTGATACAAAGGTCTGACCATAAAACATAGAAATGAGGTCAGCAATTTTTTGCCAACCTCAAACACTTTCAGGTCGGCAGTTAGGTCGGCATTGCCGAATGCTGACCCTAATTCTGAGGGTTGAGCAAATCAAGAAAACAAATCAATAAAGCATTTCTCAAATACAAACGTATTAAATTCTGTTTGACATTCTTTAGAGACGAACCATTGCACTATCATGTAATAAATTGTGTCATCAAATGAAATGTTTTAAAAAGAAAAAAGGTTTTGAAATAAAAAAGTAGCTCGAAATAGTAACACGAGCTCGTATATTTTTATATTTAACATTTTTTGCAAGTTCAATTTTATAATTAATATAAATTTTTTTATACATAAACCGCATAGCGAAATAAAGTTTCAATTACAAAACTTCAGCAAAAACAACAGATATCATTAAATTACAAAAGAATATTGTTTGCAATGCATTGCACAATATTGTTACAACGAAGAGCACCAATAATTATTTTATTATTCATAGTCATAAAATTTGGTTCATTAAAATAATTAAATTTACTTTTACATTTTAAACTGAAGCAAGCGGTGAATCTAGTTTTCTTGTTTTTTAAATTGCTAGTACCATTTTGCTGTAACAATAAAAACATTCTTGCTATTAAACGTCTTTAATTTACGTTTTAATATATGTTTTAAATACGTTTTATCATAAAACATTTTTTGAATTTAACTTATTTCAGAGGTGGTTTTTAAAAATAGTTAGTCGAGAAATAATAATAGATAAGTAAAAAAAATTTTTAGTCAATGCCGATAAGTATAAAAAGGTTATAGTCAATGTGAATACCTAATGCAACTACCAAATGAAAAAAGAAAAACAATAACTAAAAAACTTTCTGTAATATCCGCATTGATGAAAATTTCTGATGCAAACAGCTTCTCGATATTTTGAATAAACTTAATTTTGAGATATGAATTTTACAAAAAGTTGCCAAGAAAATTCCTAAAATCGCAGGGAAAATCCCTATTCTCATAAAATTTTTCCCAAAAGACATTTTCACAGTTATGCAATCGTGTAGTTGGCGGCAAATTTTATTTTAAGTTTAACACAATAAATTAGAATTTCCTACATTATTTTTTATTAGTAATAATGTATTTTAATAATGTATTTTCAATAATTTTTAGAAATATTTCCAAATTTTAATTTATGATTTAGTTAACTTTATAAAAAGAATTGAATTTTTAATTTTATAAGCATTTGGGAATATTCCATTTGACAGGACCCCTCAGGGCTAGTTTACACCCTGAGCATATATATATATATATATATATATATATATATATATATATATATATATATATATATATATATATATATATATATATATATATATATATATATATATATATATATATATATATATATATATATATATATATTTATATATATATATATATATATATATAAATATATATATATATATATATATATATATATATATATATATATATATATATATATATATATATATATATATATATATATATATATATATATATATATATATATATATATATATATATATATGTATATGGATTAAAATTACATTACATTTACAAATGTTAAAATTGCATATATATGTTAAAACAGCATATATGTACATATATATTAAAATAGCATATACACACATACATATCAAAATAGCATATACACACATATATATTAAAATAGCATAAATATTTATATATGTTAAAAAAAAATATAGTGTTTTAGAGCTTTTATTACTAATTTTTGTACAGATATTATTTCCAAGTATAAATCAGAATCATACACAATTAGCTTTTTCTTCAAGCTTGATTCTAATAACCACTTTATTCTTGAGATCTATAAAATTTCTAATCAAACCCTCCTTATTAAGCTGAGGTTTAATAAACATGTGTGTTTCAAACAATAAAACCATCCTTTTCTGAAACCTAATTTTTGTTTGCTAATGACAAAACCTTAAATTTAAAGTATTGCTACAACTATAATAATTAAATATAAATTTTTTAATGGCAAACTATAAAATAACAATATAATATCAAAGCAAAGATAAAAATATAAGTATATTTTAATTTAAAAATATTGTTTCTATATTACTTAACAAATACTAATAATATAAAAAAATTAAATTACCCTCTAAACACATATTAGAAAGATGCTCCAAAGCTTGAATTTGCTGATGGATATCATCTTTCAAATATTTCAATGAATCAACCAAACAAACTATGTCATGCTCCAAAGTTTCCATTGAAATTTTAAAGCTCTGTTTCTATTTATACCTAAATACAAAATTTTTGACCAATAAACTTTTGTATATTAAAAATATATTTAAATAAAATAAAAATACCAAAAGTGGTTTGGCAAGAATAATGTAACCAAATAAAAAAGACGCTTCATTTTTATTTCAATAATTTTAAATCGAATTTAAAATTATATATTTAAATATTACATTTCAGTTTTTTTAGATAAAACTTTGTTTTAACAAATAATAATAAGAAACAAACGTTAAATATTTTATTGATTTTCAAGCAAAGATTTTTATGGAATTCAAGATGCATGTTTAGTATTATTAATGAATTGTTCAGCCATTTCATCAATATTTAGTTTCCTGAATTCATCCTTTTTTTTTTCCTGCAAGCTTGACTATCAACTCTTGATTTCCTTTTTTATAGTCTATTTTGTCATCTAATTTAATTTCTTTGAAATGTTGTAGATTATTCTTTAAATGTGAACTCTTTTTTAATTTGTATTTGTAAATAAACACAACCATTTCATGGTTTAAAATTTTATGAGATTCATTTGGAACAATTTCAAGAGGTAAATTACTTAAAAACAGGTCAACCACTGTACTAGTAGTTGGAATAATTCTTGTTGGTATAATTTCATTGTTGATTATTTTTAAGCTTGATTTTCTTATCACTTTAAGAAAACTTTTAGAATATGGTGAGCTATTTAGATTTCTATAAAAATTAATTTGGCTTCCGAAAAAATCGTTCTACTAAAATAGCAGTTTAACTACTCATTTCAAAATGGAGGGCAGCAATTGATAGCGGTATATTCATCATTACAGCTATGTTGGACTTAAAGAGAGCATTTGAAACAATCAATAGAAAAATTTTAATTGCAAAATTCAAGTGCTACAAAGTGTGAGGAGTAGTAGTTCAATGGATTATAAGCTAACTAACTTTTTACGTATCACTTTGGTATGCATGTTTGATATAGCCAAACCTTGCAATTTGAACTTTCACACTGGTACCATTCCATAATTTGACTTGCTGAAGTTTCGCCCCAAACTTTTCGCCACTTTTTACACTTGAATTGGTTTGCAACTAATATTTTCGTTTGGGCTGATTGCAGTTTTTTTGCAACCTCTTTTTGAATTTCCTTTAGAATAGCCGGAGTTACTACAATATTAAAGGTTGTTAGCAGACAAGGTGACTATTGAGATGACTTTGGAGCTGATGCTATGTGACATATGCTGATGCTAGATGTTGTTGGTGTAGATTCAGAGGGCAGTGGCTGAAGTAGTGTAGTTCCTGGTGCTAGACTTGGTGATGGAACTATCATAGATTCTGGTTGTTGAGATGATGAAGGCTCAGGTTTAGATCTCAGTGTTTCAAATTTATTAGAAATTTGCAACTTTGACTAATCGATTTTATCGATGTCGAATGGAAACAAGCCAGTATTCTGAAACCCAGTGACATATCTGGGTACGAGTAAAAACTTCACCAGAGCTGAAAAGTTTTTTTTGCAGGTGACTGAAACATTCTTTTGATAAGTTGCTGAACTTTGTCTCTGCATAAAACTGTTGAAGTAATTTGCGCTAAACTCTTTTGACACAGCAATAAACACCATCATCTAGTGGCTGTAGAATGTGCAACTAGCTAGTAAGCAAATTAACAAGAGAGTAACTAGCGAATTTTATTCATTTATTAGAACCATTTTATAAAAGCAGTAAGTAAAAGTCATTTAAATTCAGTTAGAAAAATTTGTTCCTTTGAAATTTATACGAAAAATTTATAGTTGGAGATTTATTGGTCACTTGAGACCTAATAAAAAAAAGCCGCTTTTAAGAAATAAGCAACTGCTTTGTATTTATTTGTTTATTAGTGTATTTCATTCAACCCCGCAACACCCAGTTTCCATTTTTAACTCATAACTATTTTTCCTAAATAGCAAATTTAATTTTAAAAAAAATTCTTAATCAGCGTAAAAAGATGTATCAGTAAACATTTAAAGTTCAATGATACCGAATTTAATTCCGAGAGTTTTAAGTTCCCTCTTTAAACAAATAAAAAAAATCTTATTACGCATTCGAAAACTTATAAATTTATAACAAAATTTTTTGAAATTAAAAAAAAAAAATTTTATACAATCTTACTCAGAGAAATATTCTCTACAATTATAATCAAAAAATATTTACAAAAAAATTATTCAATAGTTAATTCAAAGCGAAGGAATAAACATTGTCGTTACTATTTCGTTCTACCCGCTATTTCATTTTACCCTGTTTGACTTTAGTTTAAGCAAAAAAAATCTAGCTACAATTCAGTAAATACCCTTTTTGTGATGTCACACACGTAACAAAAAACAATGAAAAGTTTTATTTGTGAGCAACCTAGAATGTTTTTTTTTAAAATATTATTATATAGTCAATCTGCTAATTAATCAATTGCTTGGTCAATAATTCTAGTGTTGAATTTCTAGCATCCCTGACTTTGTGAATTTTCAAACAATAAAAAATAGAATGGAAATATTTTGCATATTCCCATGGAAATAAGGTTGTAGATAGTGTTGGATGAAGAGCCAAGTCTTTTTTTCAAATGTAATGCAAGAATGAGAAAGTGTGTGTATATGTCTATGGATTTTTTTTAATGTTATCAAACCATTAATTACAACAACTAATATTCTCTATATTAGCCATGATGAAAATTAGTAAAGTAGACAACCTTAGTTAGAAGTCAAAAAAACACCGGGAATACAAAAATTTCATCATGCTTTCAATGGATGCTCATCATTTTTCTAAACAAGCGATAATCCGATTTTCAAATAAAATACATTAATGAAAGCTCCTGAAATAATTTCCTAATCTCCAGAAATAGCTTTTAATGGTTGGTGCCTTGAGCAGAACAATGAAACTATGTATCTAAATACATAGTTTCATTGCTCAAACAAAAACAAGGTAGGTACCTACCTTCTAAAAGTAGAAACTTTAAAAAAATTATAAAACAAAAGTGCTACTTTTGTTTTATACTTTTATTCTTTATTTCAGTTTTGTTAAAAGAATAAAAATTAATAAAAAATTGTTTTAAATTTAATAAATTATTAAAAGTTCATGTAGTCTCACACACATAACACTAAAGTTTATCCTTTATTTTAACGAAGTTGGTGAAATTATGAAAAAATTAAAGTATTTTTTATAAACATCAATATTTTTTCAGAAGCATATAAAAAAAATCATTAAATTAATCATAGCCAATTAGTAAAAAATTTTAACCAAAGTTTAAAATTCATATTTACAGTTTTCGTGCGCGTCACACACTTAATACTTTACTAGTATGTGCAATATTAGGATAAATATTTTTTAAATCAGACACATCTCATACAATAATAAATCCAATACATATTTTGTATATTTGTAGTAAATTATTTTTTATGGCCCCTTATTTGACAATATTTAAAAATTTTTGTACCAGAGTCACACACGTAACACGAGGATCGCCCTATAAGGTACTACGAGGTTACTCAATATATATTTTTGTTAATGATAATAAGTAATATGGCATTAATCAATATATTTAATTGGTTTTTCAAACAATACTTTTTAATATCATTATTAATACTGCCTAAAGTAATTACTAAACTTGCAAAAAAACTTGAATTACCTTAAGAAACAAACGTAAACAAAACATTAAATAGAGCGCTAAAGGCACCGTGTAATACCCACGAATAAACTCGCAATCTAAATTAAGTGTTTGGTAAAAATAACATTCGAATACTTTTTATTTCAAAATCACCTAATTAACTAAGAATAACATTTACTTGAAAAAATTTCTTAGTGATGTTAAGTTTAAATAAAATAGCACGTAGTTCTAAAGGTATTGACATTTAATTTATAAGAAATACTTCGTTTTAGTTTTTATGTAATGCTAAATTTTGCCTTTTTTCAAAAACAATGTTTAATGCATAATAAAAATAGTTTCATAAATATAAAAAACATTGACTGGAAAACAAATGTACAAATCCTCATGACTTGCTAAAAAATATATATATTAGCGGCAAGAATCTTGTTGTATAGTATATTTGAGCATTTCAATATTTCAAAGTTTGATTGGTAGTGAAAATATTAAGAATGTAACCAGAATAGGTTTAAAGGCAACTTGTACAATATGATGCAGAACCTGTTGATCTTTCTTTAAATGTATCGGCATATGTTTAATGGAAGATCGAAGAGTTTTAAATTCTTATATAAGTTAATTAAATTAGGTTAGTACCTACTAAAAATTATAATTATAATAATAGCAACAAGTAATAAATGAATACAAAATAAGAAAGTTTTTTTTAGTTAAAAATAGTAATAGTAGTTAAAACTGTAGTTGCATTAACAGCAAATGAGTTCTAAACTCACTTTGACAGCTTTTGATAATATACAACAATTCAATTCAAGAAATTTAAACAAAAGTAGTTTTTAAGTTAATTTTTGATGCTAAATATACGTCTGATTTGTTTTTGAAATTATTTACATTTGTAAATGTAAATAATTTCAAAAACAAAATGAGTCATTGTGAGTTGTCAAAAATGACGACTCACAATGGCAAGTAAATAAGTTTGCAGTTTTGTTTATAAAGAATTTGTGTATCGGTATAAACTTGGTTTGTTCTCTACTGTATTTCTTATTTTTTGAGAAAGTTTGTTTGTTTAAAAGTTCTACTTTTTTCAATTTTATTGAAAATTTTAATACTTAAATAAGATCTCTTCTTTGTCTTCTTTCTGACAATGTTGTTAAATTTAGTGTCTGTAAATGGTATTGGTACTGCAGACTTATATGTTCTTTGCCATCTTTGTCATTCTGTGCTGCACTTTTTCTAATATTTCAATGTCACCTTTGTAGTTTGGTGACCAAACTGGTGCTGCAAATCAGAGGTCTAACAAAAGTAGTGTATAGTTACTTGACAAAATGATGATCTAAATGGACAAAAGTGTTTTATTTATCATCCCCATTATTGCATTTGCTTTTGATGAACATGTTTGTGTTTTGATGAGCATGCCATGTGTTTCTTCCATTTCAGTGATGTATCAAAATTTACAAATAAATCACATTCATTTGTCAAAATGTTAATTTCTAGTCTTTCTGAGTTTTTTTGAGAAAATTTCATTGATAAAAAGTATCCAAATTTAATAAGTAATTGTAGAAAATACATTTTATAAAATATATCCAAATTAATAAATAATTATAGAAAATAAAAATTATAAAAAATACATTTGTACCAAACATGCAAAACTGGCTTCAAAATAAAAAAAGTTTTTATTATACAGGGTGGCCCATAAGTCACTTTACATTTTAAAAATTAAATTACTTTTTTTCTAATAATATATTTCTATTTCTCTTTTCAAAATTAATAAATATAATCTTTGGAAATTTTTGGAATGGATAAAGTTACGACTGAACAACGAGTGAAGATAATTGAATTTTACTTTGAAAATGGACGGTCAATTGTTGCAACGCAAAGATTGTATGTGCGCCATTTTAATGTTCGACATCCACCTAGTATGCCTGCAATAAGGAACTTAGTGACGCGTTTTCAAGAGCATGGCTCTGTAAGTGATAGGACTAGAAGTATACGAGGTCGTTCAGCACGTACACGTGAAAATACTGAAGCTGCGAGCCGTAGCATTGAAGAGAATCCAACCACATCCACTCGAAGGCGTTCTCAAGAACTTGACATTTCACGGAGTTCTCTGCAACGCATTCAAAGAGACTTGCACATGTACCCTTACAAGATTCAATTAATGCAATCTTTACAACCACCAGACTTTTAGAAACGACTAAATTATGCTGTCAGGTTTCAGAGAACTGCAAGAAATGACAATGAATTTATTCACAAAGTTAATCATGGGAGATGAAGCTCATTTCCATTTGAATAAACATGTGAATAAGCAGAATATCAGATTCTGGGGCACCAAAAATCCACACCAAATTCATGCGAGTCTACTACACCCGGTTAAATTAACATCATGTTGTGGAGTAACATCAGAAAGGGTTATTAGGCCCTTCTTCTTTGAAGATATAAATGAAAATGCTGTGACTGTAACTGCTGAGAAATATCAAGACATGCTAGCGAATTTTGTTCAACCTCAGTTAGCAAACATGGCAGGGTATTGGTGGCAACAAGATGGAGCAACTGCACATACCGCTAGAGCCACAATGCAATTGTTAACTGCAATGTTTCAGGATCGAATAATCTCTCTTAAATCCGATTTTGAATGGCCTCCACGTTTTCCTGATTTGACAGCACCAGACTTTTGGCTTTGGGGATATTTTGAAGACAAAGTGTGTGCAAATAAGCCCCGAACTGTTCAAGATCTTAAGGCAAACATACGACAGGAAATTCTTTCCCTACAACCTCAGATGTTAAGAAGTGTCATGGAGAGTAGCTTAAAAAGAGCTCGACTTTGTAAAGACGAGAATGGTGGCTATTTAAGAGACATTATCTTTCGTAACTAAGTCAGAACTAACTTACAGACTCTAAACTTTGTAATAAAAAAAAATTAATTAAATACAGTTGTTTAAGAAAAAGTTATTTAATTTTGAAAATGTAAAGTGACTTATGGGCCACCCTGTATATTAAATAGTATAAATATAAAACTTAGTCAGTAAAAATCTACTTTAATAGTTTATTGCTAACCAAAAAGAACATTTTTTTTCTGATTTTTTTAGTGTGGAAAAATAATCTAATTCCATCTGCTGATATACTCCAAAAGGTATTTTCTTTTTATTATTGTTTCTTAAGTTCAATCAAACCAATTTTTGTTTTGAATATTTTGAGAATATATATATATATATATATATATATATATATATATATATATATATATAGAATATTTTGAATATATATATTGTTTTAATGACATTTCTTGTGGTACTTGATAATTTATTTATTTAATTTATAACACATACAATACAGCTAAGTACTAATATTTTAATTTATTTTTGTTAAATTAAAATATTAGTACTTAGCTGTATTTATTATTATTTAAATTAAAATATTAGTACTTAGCTGTATTGTATGTGTTATAAATTAAATAAATGAATATATATATATATATATATATATATATATATATATATATATATATATATATATATACATACATATATATATATATATATATATATATATATATATATATATATATATATATATATATATATATATATATTATATATATATATATATATATATATATATATATGTATATATATATATATATATCAATATCATATATTTGATATATATATATATTTTGATATATATATATATATATATATATATTATATATATATATATATATATATACTGACCATTTCTATAATTATCTATTCTTCATTGATCATTTCTATACTTATTCCTTGTTTACTTAATTATTTATTAGTAAAATAATTTATTTTAAAAATTGCGTAAAGACGATAAAAATTAACATGCACCCATCTTTTTACCTCCTAAAAGCATATCTTCGATAGCTCAGTGGTTTAGTGCGCTGCTTCAGTGTCATTTTGATTTGATTTTTTAATTTTTTTAATCTCGTCGTATATATTTGCAGCAAAAAAAATACATAAGTAAAAAAGACTTATAATTATAAAAATAAATTTTAAAGTTTTCTTATAATATACCTATATTATATATGATCAATCCATAAAAACAATTTATTCTAAAGATGTTTACATTTGTATGTAACACTATACAAATGGCAGAACCAAGAAGGTAATGTAATTTTAGCAAAAAAAATTATCAAGAGTAGCGAGAGCCATGGCAAATCTAAAATCGAAGTTTCAAATTTTCCACTCGGATGAGACAAAATGTTTTTTTGAAAAGTGTCGATTAATTATATTTGGTATAAGAGATTTATAAAATGATTTGTTTTTCTGTTACACGCATAACTTTGATAGCTCAGTGATTTAATGTCAATTTGTGAGGGTTAAAATCTGCCCCGTAACACAATACATTTTCAATGCCTCCACAGCAGCATTTTTTGGAGTAGCAGACTTAATAAATTTTTTCTTTATTAACATTCACAGCTTTTTTACCTGAGCACACTAATCATATATATCTCTATCATGACATATGTACAACTAATTACTCCTCGTGATTTGATGTTTAGAAATTTAAGCTTTTTTAAAGATTCTCTCTTTTTTTGCTTCTTATAATATATAATATCTTTATATACTAAAATATTATGAATCAGTTATGCTTTTTTTCTTTCATTAACATTTTTAAAGTGATTTACTCTTTTAAGAAATGATTTTGTTAAAAGAGTAAATTTTGCATTGAATGACTAAAAATATTAGATATTTTATCTAATATTGTATTTCATTTATAAAGGTTTGTAAAAATATCCGAAATGCAAAAATTAACTCCATCATTATCTTACTATGCTGGAAAGTTGTGAATTGCTGTTGAGTATGAAAGTAAAACAATTTTTCTATTTCAAATAGGTACCAATTAACATTGTTCTTATAAAAATTGTTCTGCTAATAATGTTTGTTATCACTCACGCTGCTGCAAAGAGTATGTAAGGTGTGTTCAAATTTATATTGTTAGAAAATCTTCTCATCTATAAGGATTCATACAATTAATGCTGTAGGAAAGTAATCAAAGATTGCTTGTATAAAAAAAGTGAGATATTTACTATCGCAATTGTATTAGATATTTATACCAAAAATGCTTTTTACTATAAATTTAAATCTAAAGTTGATTTTGTTTTTGATCCTTATCCTTTGCATAGTATAAAATATGCAGAACACGATGAAAGATCAACAGAAAGCAAATTTTTGGTCACTATTTATAACTAAGATCAAAAGAGATCTGTTTGCAAAAGAAAAAACATGTGATACTTAAAAATTTGTCGGACATTCTTGTCATAAAGAAAGATTGAGATACTCAGATTTTTGCAAAATTGAGAAATAAGAAAGAGAATTCAGAAAACACTGACTCGGAGATGAGCAACATAAAAGCTAAAATAAAAATAATTACAATTTTTTTGAAGGTAATTTTAAAAACGCATTTTTGTCTTATATTTTATTATGAAAAAAATTAAAAGATGAAAATATAAATTTTTTAATGTTGTGTGAAGATCTTACCCCCCATACTTTGTTTCTTGTGTTTCCCCAACAATTATTTAGCCATATCATGAAGTTACAACTGTGAAAATCTTATTTCTATAACATAATAGTTATACCTTAGTGTTAATAAAAAGGTTAGATGTTAAGCATCAACTATGCATGCAACAAAACTTAATTTTCAGCCACATTTAAAGATTGTGTATGGCCTATACAGGTTCATTAATCACCTATTTTGGTGTGAAAGAGTTAAGAAGCCAAAACCATATTTTATATTAAGATAGCTTTCATTTGAGAGAAATTTTGAATCCATAAGAGTTGGGCAACTCCAAGAGTCAGCTAAACTGCAACGCATTGTATTGAAACAAAAAATTTGTTTTGACCATTTTAAAATAACCATACAAAGTTTTGAATTTTGTTATTTTCTTTTTATATTTGGTTTCAGCACCCTCAAAAGGGTAGGTGCTAATTTGTAGCCTTCATATTTAATTTTAACTTGTTCACAAAAAAGTGTCACTACAAGATCCATAATGACTGGTGTTTACAAAATTAGGGCATTTTAGGCTAAATTATCACTGCCTTGTTTGGCATCAATTTTATCAGATTGGTTAAATAATAAACTAGTTAAGTTTTATTTAAGCACAAAGTTTCAAGTATTTAGTAAATTGTTATAAAGAGCATATTTTTTCACATAATTTTTGCTTGTTTGTTTTTAATTCATTTTTATCATTAGAGAAATTCTACTTCTTATGAACATGGATTAAAATATGGTGATGGAGGAAGAAATTCATTTAATGGCTCAATTGTAACTGTATTTGGTGCAACCGGATTTTTGGGAAGATATGTTGTTAACCGATTAGGTATACTCGGAAATTTTACTTATTTATTATATTATTTACAATATAAAAAATAAGTAAAATAAAAAAAATTTAATAATAAAAAAATAAGTTTAATAAAAAAAAAGTATATATAGTAAATTTCTTTTCGAAATTATTTGCTTAAAAAAAAAAGTTTAAAAAAAAAAATTTAATTCACTTCCCATGTTACTCAAGTTGAGGACACTGCTATGCTGTCAAGTTGAGGTTACTCAAGTTGAGGACGCTGTTAAATTTTTTTTTTCAATATTTAGTTTTTTATTTGTAACTCTCAACCCTAACTTTAAAACATGTCAAGGTGGCAGCACAGAGAAACAGGTTACTTAAAAAAAAAATTATAATTGAGGATCTGTTCAAGGTTTGCAATCATTTATGCTTACTCAATTGTTATTAAAACTTTTGTACCCACAAATTATATTTATTTACAAATTGTAATTGTTATGAAATCTTTGTACCCAAAAATTTGTAGCCACTATAACATTTAACAACTATTGCTGTTTCAACCATATAGTACAAATAAACAATAAAGAAATTAGGCTCACAATATTTTTGTTATGCATATGTTGGTCTTTGTTTTGTTTTTTAAGGTTGATTTTCTATTAAAATATGTTTAACTTTAAAATGCACTAAAAAAAGGTTTAAGTTCCTATCTTTAGGGTATATCACATGTTCTACTCCTTTTAAGGTAGAAAATTATACCTTTAAGGTTAAAAATTGTACCAAAAATGGTCATACATAGTGTAATTTGCTACCTTTAAGGTATATTGTTTAACTTTTAAGGGTATAGTTTTCTACCTTAAAAGAAAGAATATGTGATATACTGTAAAGGTAGGATTTTTAATTTGATCTTAAGATTATTTTTACCTTTTTTTAGTATTTTATAGAAACAATTTTAATTATCCAAGTTTTTAAAGAGAAAATACAACTAACTATATTTAAATTGTTAACTCAAGACATTTATTTATAAATATATATAATAACAAAATATAAAATATTATAGCAAAAAAGAAAATTTATTGTATTATAATTAGATTTATACTTGTTTTAATGAAGTAAAGATTGTTGATTACATTATATGATTGCAATTTTTATTAAAAAAAGAGAGAGTATGTTGAACCTTAGACATGTTTCTTTTAAAGATGTTTTTATTAAAGAAAAAGTTATTTTCTTGTTGACACATTTGAAAATAAATGTAGACAGAGTACCTGTTAAAAAATCATCTTTAAAAGCTATAAATCTCAAATATTAATATTAATACTAAACCTAAGTAAAAAAAAATGCAAAAGGGAAGGAAATATTATAACTTGCCTTATCAATTCAGATTGAGAACCTACATAGCCAGGGTGTATAATGGGAAGTTTTAATTCAATTGTTGTATTGCTTGAAAAAAAAAAGGTCATTGAATTTTAAACTTAATGGGAATTCTGTGGTATACACAGTGCAATTAGGCTGGCTACCACCTTGATAGCACATTATTAGATTTTTATTGCATCAAAACTGAGTCATTTATTCAAAGGATGTCAAGATTAGGTTGCATCGAAAAACAACAATTTCAAAAAATTGTCTGAGTTCGAAGAGTCTGAGTTCTAAATGTATTTTTTATAATAACACTAATTTTTTAACAATTTTTTATTAAAAAATTTTTTGAACAAAAAATATTTTAAGAGGTGCCCCAAGATCCTTGAACATTTGATGGGTCCCTAATAAATATGTAAAAAAAGTTCTTCAAAAGTAGGTCAACCTGGTACTCAAAAAAAAGGAAATTATGTAAAAGTTTTAAAAATCATATTTGTTTTATAAAAAATATATTAAGAAAAAATATCTTTAAAAACATGTAGAAATGCACCTTTTTTAGTATTAGTTAAAGATCAAAATTTTTTATTAAAAATATTGAAAATATAAGTTTTTATATGAAACTATTATTATTTTTGAAATTTTTATATAATTTCACTTCTTTCGAGTACCAGGTTGACCTACTTTTGAAGAAATTTATATATATATATATATATATATATATATATATATATATATATATATATATATATATATATATATATATATATATACATATATATATATGTTAAATAAAATTTAGCATATGTATATAAAAAGTTCAAATTTAAATGTTCAAGGGTCTTGGGACACCTCCAAAAAAAATTCAGTGTTATTTATTATATAGAACACATTTAGAGCTCAGACAAAAAAATTTTGAAAAATAATGTTTTTTAATGCGCCCTGGTCAAGATGAGTCACAGTTTATAAAAAATTCATTTAATTAAAAAAGATGTTTATATAAATTCTTTAGGACTGGGTTTTCTTAAATATATTTTTAATGTTTTTTATCCATTATGTAAGCATACAATTTTAAAAAATCGATTTTGGTGTTAAAAGATAAGTGGTTCTCATTTTATTTAAATTTGTTTCAAAACATAAATAAAATCTTAGTAAACAGTTTAAACTCTGACCCCTATAGATAGCCCTATAGATTTCATTGGTATTGCTTCCATGTTTGTGAAAGTATTAAATACTTTGTTTCCTGATTTTGATACATGACTAAAACTATGTTATTATTATTTTAAAGATGTTTTTTTTTTTTGTTTTCTTATTTTTTTCAACAAATTCACTCCCAACAAGCAACAACTATTAGGCATTGTTAAGCACTATTAAATTAAAGTTTAACAGAAAGCTAAGAAGAATGTTAAGTTAAAATTAAAAAGTTAATTAACAAAAGTTAAATTAACAAGAAAAATGTTGACAGAAGACTTAAAAAACTGTAAACTGTATGAATCAGGAAAGCATTAATGCAGGATTGAATTCCAAAACTTTAGTATTTAAAGAATAAAACCAGATGTAAAGTTAGCAGGTGCTATCTTTACAATGGATTAAAAAAAAAAGAAAGAAATCATCTGACCGTGTTATTAGATACAATAAATGTGGTCATTAGATTAAAAAAATGAGTTAGAAAAAAAGTTTTTTTGCGAATAGTTCTGCCATATCTTTGGTATTATAATCAAACCCATGTTTAAAAAATGGTATGTTAAACTTGCTTTTATTAATTCCTTTATTAAAGGTTTTCTAAAACTTAACTTAAGAGAGTAACTTAGGGAAAATAATAGCTCTTAGCGTTTAACAAAACATTTTTGCATTGATATAAAGACATTAATGTTATGAGAAATGATTGCACTTAAAAATAACTGTGCAAAAAGGGGAATAACATGGGATAGAGTGGGACTTGTACCACATAAAAAAACTGAGTGCATGCTAGGGTCAGAAATTAGACACAAATGCTAGAGTCAGAAATGCATGCTAGGATCAGAAATGCAACATAAATTAAGAAACAAAGATAAGTATTGAAGCCATGCCAGAAATAGTATTGAAATGACTGCAGTTTTGGAAAGAAGGAAAACCATAAAATAAATTTTTAATGAATTTTTTTTAATTTCTTATCTTATTTTTTTCTTTGTAATTTTGTTTATATTTATATTTTAAAACTAATGATATAAAACAAAAGTGATACAAATAATGTTGAATTATAAATTACATTATAGCGAATATATTTGTATTTGTTTTTTATAATCAAAATTTAAATAACAAATATATTTTAATAAGTTATTTTAACTAATTAAAAGTATTAGCCGAATGTAACAAAAAAATCAACCATTTATTTACTGCTTTTATTAAACTTAAAAAAAGGACATGACTTTTCATTTCAGAATAAAAACCACAATCAAAGATGGTATGCAAAAAAATGTTCATACAACAGTTTATGAGTTAATGTCTGAATTTTTTGCAAACTGTAATTGGAAAATTAGTTTTGTAAATTGAAATGTGAATGATTTTTATAACGAATTTTTAAATAAAGTCCAAAAACAAACTTTGGTTTAAATGCACAGCATATAGTTTTAAAAATGCAAAACTGTTGCAAGAGCACAAACAAAGTATATTAAAATATAAAAAGCTACATAAAAAATCTGTTTATGAGTATGAATTAAAGTTGGCTTCAGACACTAAATATTATTCAAAATTTTTGTATTCATATGTGAAGCAGATAAAATATGTCAAGACAAGTATCTATTCCTTAAAAGAAGTATATGAGTGTATGATCACAGATCCGGAGGATATAGCTAATACGTTAAATAATCATTTTCAAAATGTATTCACAGAAAATATTATTGCTAAGCTACCAAAATATGATAACCTTACGAACAATATATGTGCAACACAATTAGTTAATTTCAAATCAGTTTGCAATATAAAAATGAATTTAAACCCGAATAAATCGATTAGTCCAGATAATGTGAGTCCTTTGGTAATAAAAAAACTGTACACATGCTTTAGCAGGCTCTTTAAGCTATATATTCACACTTTCAATGCAGTCAGGTACTTTTCCAGATTGATGGAAATCTGCATTCATAACACCATTATTCAAAAATGGTAGTAGACTAGACATAAACAATTATTGTGTGATTTCCTTGTCCATTATATGTAAAGTTATAGAAAAAATTGTATAAAGCAAGTTTGGTCAAACACTTAGTAGAAAATCACAAATTTTGATTAGTCAACATTGGTTCGTGAATAACAAAGCGTGTTTAACTAATTTGATTGAAACTATAGATTTTATTAATTATTCATTATCTGAAAAAGATGCGGTTGATGTAGTATTCACGGTTGATGCTGAAGCAAAATAAAATAGCGAAATAGTCAGAAACATGGCTTCTTTACTTGATACAAAATAAAAAGTGATGCATCTTGAAAAATCCAATAACAATCACATCTACACCTACACATAATGTACACCTATACAACTACATCAAAAGTAATGAAATTATAATTTAATGCAGCACAAATAAAGATATTGATCTTAGTCTAACAGTATGAAGCATCATAATCAAGTAATGTATGCATCAAACAAAGCAAATTGAATGCTTGGAATGATAAACAATATGTTCACTTATTTGAATATTAAACTACTCTAAAAATTATACACAGCCTTTGATAGACCTCATTTAGAATTTGCAATATCTGCTTGGAACCCTCTCTATTAAAAATTACAATTGAGCTGTAAAATGTACAACATAGAGCAACTCCTGATTCCATTACTCAGAAAACTAGAATATAAAGAGAGATTAAGAATTTTGGGTCTTTAATTGCTAGAAGATCAGAGAGTTTGAGGGACCTATTTCAGTGTTATAAAATAAAAAATGACTTTGATATTGTAAACAAAATATGATATTGTCCAACAAAAATATGTTTTCTTTTCAAGAAAATAAAAAAAATTTATTATGCTTAAAATAATGCATTATAATATTTTTTTTTTGGTGGATGTAGTTACATCAAAAAAAAATCAGATGTGTAACTACATCTGGTTAAAATAACGCATTATAATAATTTTTTTTTTGACGGATGTAGTTACATCCGTAAAAAATCAGATGCGTAACTACATCTGGTTAAAATTATGCATTAAAAAAAAAAAAAGTTAGTGTAGATTTTTTGGATTTAACTGCATCCGAAAAATCTACAGATGTAGTTGCACGGATGTTATTATACATCAATGAAATTTGGGATGTTATTACAGGGATGTTATTATACATCAATAAAATTTGGGATGTTGTTACACGGATGTTGTTATGCAATGATGAAATTTCCGATGTTGTTTCACGGATGTTATTATACATGGCAAAAACGGATGTTATTGCCCTGACCCATTAAAAACAATTTCATTCTTGATAAAGTTTCTTTAAACAAATTGTACATTTTTATGTAGGCTGCCAAAACCAGAATTGGTTACACAAGCTGAAACCAATTCTGGGGCATAATAAATACTACTACTACTACTACTGCTGGTGCTACTGCTACTACTACTACTACTACTACTACTACTACTACTACTACTACTACTACTACTACTACTACTACTGCTACCACTACTACTACTGCTACTACTGCTACAACTACTACTTTCTTTCAATTATTCACCTTCTCAAGGCCCGAGGGGGCCACTACAGTCGAGGAGGCTACTCATTTTTTGTTTTTTTTTTTGTTTTCTTTTGTTGTAAATTGTGGTACTACCCTCTCTCAACTCTTTAACTCCGAAACACGAACCTTGACAAGCAAGGCCGCTGAGCGGAGAAATTAAGTTAAGCGCGGTACTTCCAGGGACGTGGTGGGAGTCGAACTCTGAACCTCACGCTAACAAAGCGAGCACTCTTACCACTACACCACTACCGCATAGAGCGCTCTTACCACTACACCACATACCGCATACACCACCACTACTACTACTACTACTACTACTACTACTACTACTACTACTACTACTACTACTACTACTACTACTACTGCTACTACTACTACTACTACTACTACTACTACTACTGTTACTATTACTACTACTATTAGATATGCACCAGTATAATTTCTGTAAACCATTTGTGTTGGTTTGAATTTTTTAAATAACTTTGAATCAAAAAAATTGAATTTGAAATAATATACAATTTAACATATCAATTTTGAATAGGAGATCTTCATTTAAATAAAAAGCAACTTAAAACATTGATAAATAAATTTTGAATTTAATTGCATATAAATATGTTTGAAAGATATGATGTGTTGCAATTTTTTTTTATTAAATATTGTTACTTTTTGCTTAAGTCTGAATTTAATTATGAACAAACCTGAGGAAAAAGTGATGTTAAAATCTTAAACAAAGTTTTTGTTACAATTTGGCAGGAAAAATTTATAGCAATTTTATGACTTTTTCAAAAATAAAACTTTTGATTTTGATTTTTTGTTTCAGCTCGTAGAGGAACGCAACTGATAATTCCTTACAGAGGTGTAGATGATGAAGTTCGAAATATTCGTTTGATGGGAGATCTTGGGCAGATAAAGTTTTTTGTAGGTTTTTAATATTTTTTTTTTACTTTTTTATTTCTTTTTCTCTCTTCTCTTCTCTCCTCTCCTCTCCTCTCCTCTCCTCTCCTCTCCTCTCCTCTCCTCTCCTCTCCTCTCTCTCTCTCTCTCTCTCTCTCTCTCTATATATATATATATATATATATATATAAATTAATTTTTAAAAATAAATAAAATAACTTTTTATGGTACTAATAGTTTCATGCCTAAAGGCAATCATCAGCCATGTAATACAAAACAAGAAACAAAAAAAACCCGTTAAAATATAAAGTTACAGTAGAGTGTGCTCCGTCGTCAAAACAAAACAAAAACAAAAAGATAAGAAAAAACTAAAAACGGCTGCCTAATCACCCGTATCGAAATTCGAAAGGAGGAATTTGCTTTTATGTCTACATTTAGATACTAATTCATTCCTCTTATTTAATAAGTTATCATAGGTGTACGATATTATGAAATACTATTCATATAGACATAAGTTGCATCGTTTTATTGCAGGATTGTAAGATCTACAACGTTTCAAAATTTTCCATTTAATTGTCGGGTTTACTCCATTTTCTTTTAACTTCCATACTTCCTTAGACAACTCAGTATCGTTTTTATATTTTTCGATGTTAAAAGATTTTGTATGATTAGCGTATCTAAGTTTAAAAGCAGTTTCACTTACTCCAAAATACACTTTTTCAATCCCGCCTGGAGTGCCTGGATATAGAGTGGCTTGATACACTATGTTATTAACGAGGCACTGTTGATTTAAAGGGCACTTGCTTTTAGTAATACAATTGCAACTTTTATCTGATTCTGGGGGGATGTTTTTCATAATATGACGGTTATGAAAGTTAACGATTGATTTAATGTTTGGCATACAACTGTAACTCACCTTTAGAGTATTTCTATTAAAAATCTTGTGGTATTTATGGCCAATCGAAAAAGATTTTACCAATTTTAGTAGAAACATTTTTACTATATGGGGGGTTAAACCAGATAATATTGCGCTTACGGTTTTTTGGTAGAGGTTGAATGAGTTTCGGAATATAATTAAGTTTAAATTTGTAACCAGATCTTGAGTTTAAATTTGTAACCATGATCTTTTAAAGTGATAAAGCAGTAAAAGTACTTTAAAAGATAATAAAGACAATTTTTTAAACAAACCTATTGTCCGCCTTTTGAATCCAGCAAAAAATGAAATTGGAAGGATCAATAAATTTATTTTATCTAACGTTATTGCTGAGCTGAAAAATACTCTCTCTCTCTTAATCAATGGAAAAGCACGCAAAACGTTTTAGATTGGTTCAAAGGTATTAAAAACAAGCATTTTTATAATTTTTAATTTTTGACATTGTTGATTTTTATCCTTCTATCAATGAAAGTCTTTAGAATGATGCCATTAAATTTGCTGAGAATTTTGTAACCATTAAAAACGAAGACAAACTAATAATTAAACAAGCTCGAAAATCGTTGTTGTTTAATAATGAGCAACCTTGGATTAAAAAGAACAGTGGTTTGTTTGATGTTGCAATGGGT